TTTTCTAATTTGTTGAGATAGTGAATTGATTGGTTTTTGTTAAATGTGAGCCAAAATCATCACAATTAAAAGAACCAAAGACTTAAACTACTTCAGTCTGTGTGCATTGAATTTATTTAATACACGAGTTTCACAATTTGAGTTGAATTACTGAAATAAATGAACTTTTCCACGACATTCTAATTGATTGAGATGCACCTGTACATAAACTGTCAAAGATATTTTAGATAGATCACATTTTTCAGTTTATCTTCGTACAGCACAGTATATTACCTTGTAACCCTGCAGACGACCTCTCACAGTTTCTCTGTTTATGGGCGCCCACACCACTTTGATGGCAGTGCTGTTGATCAGATCCACTGCCACATTCAAAGGGGCCTCAAGCGGGTCTGACAGGAAGAAAAAGCACATTCTGATACCCTTTAAAACGTCTGTCTCAGGATTAACGTTAAACTAAAATCATTGTTTAATTGGGGTGAATTGAGATGCATAACCTTACAGGAAGATGTCAGGAAAAGGGCTCACAAGAGCAGCAAAAATATGGAACATGACAAACTCACAGTCCTCTCCAGAGTATCCAATGGTGGATTTGGGCTCCGGGCCTTTTCCCATCTCATTAACAGCCTGCACTTTAATGTCAAAGGCAGAGAAGTTGCCCACATCTGTGACGATTAAGGGTGGAGACTTGATGGACTTGATGTGCCAGGATGGTCCGCTGCCCAAAACTTTCCTCCACATCACTTTATATTCAAAACCTGGGCCATTGAAACTACGTCTGTCCATTTCCTGCAAGAACACAGATTCAGTTTTGAGTCACACCGTATTTTTCTGTGAACAATTAGAATTTGAAAACATTGACCATAGTGCCTTTCATAGTAAAGGGCCTTGTTTGGCCCTAGTTTTCAAACTGAACTGTTCAAAAGAACCGTTTCTTAAAGTGGTCATATGATGCTGCTAAAAATAACATAATTTTGTGTATTTGGTGTAATGAAATGTGTTTATGCGGTTTAAGGTTTAAAAAACACATTATTTTCCACATACTGTACATTATTGTTTCTCCTCTATGCCCCGCCTTTCTGAAACGCGTCGATTTTTACAAAGCTCATCGTTCTGAAAA